ATAGCAAATAAATTTACTTCGGTACCTACCTAGTAAATAACGTAGTAAATGTTACATTAACGACTTTAACAGAGAGTGATTGGAACTATTAAATAATGCCTCGCAGTATTAGGATCTACGTTATTTTATTAGTGCATCAGCACTATTTCTTCAATAAAATAACAGTTATTGGAAGAGTGTAGTAGGTGGTAAGAATTACCTTATTTTATATTATTAATTTTGACAGCTGATAGCTATGTTTATAAATTTCATTTTTGTTTGTGAATTTCTGCTGATACCAATTTTTTGATGTTACCTACAGTAAAATGAAAAATTATTGTAAAAAACAAATTCTCTAAGTAAAATTACGTCATCGTCGAAAAGCGAAACGTCAGTCGTCAAAAATATCAGAAATATTGAATTAAGGGAAGTTTACTGCTTCGCACTAACCATACACAAATAAAGACAAGCAAAGCAGTAACCCTAGGGGAATCCTTATTTTCAGACCCAAATGCGCATGCGTAGATGTCAAAATAAGTTAATTTAAATACTGCTTGTCCTTATTGCACTTCCAATAACACTCTATTAACAACCCTGCGGTTACAATAACTGTTATTATTCAGAGAAAGAAAACGAGGGATATTATGTGTAGATGATCCAGCTTCTGAAATAGATATCTAAGGAAGAAATTGATTTCATTATACCTACTCTGTATTATATGTATAGACATGTTGATGAATATTTTATGGATAGGCTTCGATGAAACATACCCATTCCGGATTTTTTAATGTTTGAAGAGTACAAAAATTATTTATTTTTTTTGTAACTTTTCAGGGTAGTAGGCATGTACAATAAGTTTTGAATAACATATTTTATACATTTTATTAGGTATTTCGAAGTACTTTTTTATTTGTTTTAATTTCCCAAAAACTTTTCAACAAGAAATTATAGATAAGTCCGTACAGATGAGAGCCGAACCAATAATAAAATTTGTGATTCTTGGTGGATCAAAGACACCTTAATTTACCTATTGATATTTTTTTTACAATGCGTGCAATAATATGCATAAAGTGATAAATAAAACAAATTTTAACTAGGGGTTTTTTATCATTAAAAACTGAGGTACATACTTCACAAACATAGGTACCTAATAATATTGGTCCGGTTCGGGTTTATGGAAAACGGACGGTTCTAAAACGGTTTCAAACAATCGCACAGTTTATCAATCGACAATCAACAAAATGACAATGGCGCGGCTTTCAAAAATTTCAGTAATAAACTGTGCGATTGTTTCGAACCGTTTTACAACCGTCATTTTCCCAAACCCGAACAGGCCATAAGGCGGTTACACACGGACGTGGATGTCTGAAAACATGTACGCACATACATGAACGTGCAAACAAAAACATCAATGTGTATGCAAAATACCGTCGCGTTTTTGAATGTACAATTTTGTATGCACACTCGGAACACTGTAGCAAGAATAGCAAGACTGCAGTTTTGTGCGAACGTCTGTACAAAAGCGCCATGCACGTTCTTGGTTGCACGTTGACGTATGCACGTATATGTATTAAGACATCCACGTCCGTGTGTAACCGCCCATATGAGTAACACCACTAACACCAATCAACAATCAGATACCAAGAGATATTTACATCGCACCCACATATTTTCCAGGTTCTGTAGGGCCTGCACAAGCCACAAATCCTCACGATTCTGCAAAACTAATACTAAATGAAACTTAAATTTTCGCGCTAACCGCGCGCTTTATCATTCGAGTTATTTCTTTCTTTATGCAGAAGAAAATCAGCATGCAATCTTTGAATATAAAACTACAGGAAGGAGCATAACTTCGAATCTGCGCGACCAAAATATGTGGAGGTTGCATATATGGCCGACTAGTATTTCCGGTTTGGCAGTGGCGTATATTTATTTAAATATGATTGTCAATATTATGACTCACTCTTTTCTCACTAATTCCAGTACTTATCATCACTTAAAACCGCTAAAATCCATTAAACATCCACTTAAATGAGGACACAGGGAACCACCAAAACAAATGATGAGTCCAAACTTGGAGGCTGAATATGGCCGTTTCCGTCCCTTCGTTGTCTGTAGTGACAGATAGAAAACGCTCCTTCCTGTAGTTTTATATTCAAAGATTGCAATAGTTGTATTCCATTTACACCTAGGACTCCTAGGACGAGCTCCGGAACAGCTCCGGGGCGTTACGCGCTTATTCCTTCCGAAAAGTTTTTGTCTACTGTGTAGCTCTAGTGTTCTAAACTATTGCAAGGAATACCGTAAGGTGGGGGTACTTGCAACAGTGGCACAACTTGCAACATTTATTCATCGGTGTGGAATTTTTGCTTTCCCCCTCCTCCCGCTTGAGTCGCGCGTCAACCGCTAACGTGTTACCGTTTAGTACGGATCAGTAGGTTGAAATGTGAGTAGGTTTAGCGTTGAAAAAATTTAAACACGAAAAATTTGGCGCCATTTTCTGACAGCTCTAGTAAATGCTCTAAATTGTTGCAATATAACTTCTCCTGTGCAGAGCTTATTTACGCTAGGATTTATATCAAATTTCGATATGATGTGCTTGAATGCTTATTCTAAAACATTGAATATCTAGTTTTGAGTTAAGTTTGAAGGTTTTCGTAAATAGATTTTTTTTTTAAATTGCATGTACAAAAGTGGGTAACTTGCAACATGCCTCGCAAATACAAAAAATAGTTAGGGAGTAGGACCTACCTACCGTAATTATTCCAACGAAACTTTGGAAAATGCATCGAAAACGGATCAGGGATTCGGGAAGCATCGCGAGAATTTGGGATTGACCCATCAACGCTTTCTCGGAAAAGAAGAAACTTGTTTCCCCTTGATCCTGGTAGGCAGCCTGTATTTCCAAAGGAAGAGAAGGAAGCTCATCATACCATGACCAATTTTTGGTCAAAATTGACCAAAATTGGCCAAAATTAGCCAATTTTTTTTTTTTTTTTAATATTTTGTGTTGCAAGTAAGTTAACACCACTGATCTAAAAAATAAATGGATAAACAATTCATATGGCTTGATTGGCAAAATTTGTGCGAAAATTTGGGGTCAATATTCTACGAACAGTTGTGCAACTGAACAGCCTAACGCCTGCGCAGTGTCTTATCTTTCGAACAACTGTTCTAAATTTTGAAATTCGTTCATTAATTTTCATTGGCCAGATTTTGTGCACACACAATACGTATCTACTGCGCACGCTCACAGCTGTCCCAGTCAGTTGTTTTTGTTTAGATTTTGACCTAGTAAATTAGCAGCATTAGAACGTTCTTTGTTTATCCATTTATTTTTGAGATCAGTGGTTAACACGCGTTCCTAAATACAATTACTACTGAAAAAAGCCACTTGTTGCAAGTATCCCCTTGCAGGTGTTCAACTTGCAACACACAGTTTTTTTTTTAAATATATAGGTATCAACTAATAATGTTGTTCAAAGTTTTTTGTTAGAATCGGATACTAGACCACAAGACTAAAATTTTGGCACCAATTAGGTCAAATTCGACAAAAAAATAAAGAAGGTATCCGCAAAAGAATTTTGAAAATGTTGCAACTAACCCCACCTTACGGTACAACTAAAATAATAGTTGTATTCCTTTCAAGAGTTTAAAACACTGGACCTACTCGCTCCGATGGTTCCCACCAGCGCTACAGAAAAATGTTGAAATTTTGACAGTATACTAGTGTCAATTGGTCTGTTCTCACAAGATTCTCTGACAGTTTCCAAACTGTCAGAAACAATCCCTCAGCTAAGTTATCGATTTATCTTGGAACGGAACGACGGCACGACGGCATGAAAACATGTATGGGCGATGCTTCCTGACAGTTTGCGAACTGCCCGAGACTCTTGTGAGAACAGACGTGGCAAGCCGGCTAAAATATTTTGAAGATGGTGGCAATTGGCAATTCCGGTTACATCGGAAGCAGACGTCAGCGTGATTATTTTAAATGAGACACCCTATTATATTATTTCATTCTTGGTTTCTAATCAGGATTAGGGATTCGGTGCGTGTATAATGTAGGTATTATACCTCTGTCTAAGCATTTGTGCCATAGCTATTTAAATTTTTATGCCAAACATTACGTTTGCAGGCACTAATTGAGAATTTTTCCAATGAGAAATCTATTATTATTTGATTTGGGTTGGATTTTTTGTTGACAAGGACTTCGGTAGGTACTTCAATGGCTTTTTTTATAATATTTTCATAAATATTAATAGAGGCTGTTCAAAAAATAAGATTAAAAATAAGATTGAGAAACTGTCGAAAATCAATTTTTTCAAATGGAAACTCCCAAGTTTTGTAATTTTATCTTATTTAGGTCGGGTTTATTAATTTTCAGATAAATTTGCTGGTAACTATCTGCAAGATAAATTAACCGTTCTGTAATTCTATTGGTCGGCGGATAAATGGCCGACCAATGCGATTGCAGATTGCGTTTTTATCCGTCAGATTGCATAGCTGACAGTTTAACAGAAGGTGAATAAACCGGCCCTAAGCATTAAAAATAAGGGTCGTAAAGTTTATGTGAGTCTTATTTCGAAAATGTTTAGTTTTTAAAATTCATAATTATTTTAGTGCCTGCGAACTTAATTTTTGCAAAAAAAAAACTCACTTTCAGATACACCCTGTATATAAATAAATCGATTTGGTTCCCGGTGGGACACCCAGTATACACCTATCACTTTTAAATTTTCATCATTCACATAATTGAATAATGAATGAGAAATCATGGTCAAATTTGGTCGCTGGCTACCGGTCTATAACTTATTACGCGTTGCGTTGGTTGCCTAATTTGCCATAAACTTGGAATTTGGAAAGTTCAATTTCCATGTTACTAATCATTTTTATCAGGATTACCTTCTTATCTCTTTCTAACACACCAAGACTCAAAAGGAGAGAGAGCCGATCGACCAAATACCTCATAATAATTTAATTTATGTTTATTTTTCTTTATCAGCCACAGCCACAGTAGTTATCAGGCGCGTTTTTGCCGGCTTTTGAAACTGTTTCATTATTACAGAACTACAAATCTTTATGTAATAAAAACTATGTGGGTGTTAAATATCAAGCAAATTGTTCCTCTCTTCATCTCATTTGTGAATCATAAAATATAACCTTATTATTTTAAAGTAAACCAAAAGCTATATGTCTATTTTAAACAATTACAAAATGAACTGAGGAATGGTGCTCTAGGAATTAGAGAATTAATACCTAAATTTTAAATCGCGTCAAATTGAAATCGAAAAAATCTATTGAAAATGTAAGTATGTAATGTACATTATCAATTATATTGCTCGAGTTTTCATTGAAATTCGACTTTAAACTAACTAAATCAAGCCAGTTTTCATCGAAATTCGACATATTTTACCCTGTTATGTACCTAATTTAGTACCGTACCTACCTATATGCGGGCCCTGGTTTATATTAGTAAACTTGAATCTAATTTTTAGTTGGGAAATTATGGAATGGAATAATGTTTTTTGATTTTTGTTCCAACAAAGACTGAGGTGACCACTGCAATGTAGGTATGCCAAGATTTTTTTTAAATCGTGGACGTTATCCATTTTGAAATCTGGAAATTAAACAATTTATCTGACGTACGCATACCAGAATATGAAATTAGGTTAGAAAGAAAGCCGATAAAATAAAATGATAAAATACCATACCAACTTGACACATGACCTCGACCAATGAATCTGAACGAATTGGGACAAAGTTCCTAATTCTTCATTTAGGTTGGCCAACTATTGATAAAATTCAATTTTTAATTCAATATTAGAATTAGAGCTACTTTTCATTTATTTAGAGGTGTGTCTGTTAACTCTGGGACCTGCCATTTGTAGTACAAGAGATATGCATGAAGAGTGACCCTCCTAGGCCTCCTAAAAACATGGGTTTTTCAACACAATTCTGCTCAAACAAATTAACGAATTTGCAACATCTTTCCACATTATAAAATTTTTTATCTACAGGGATGGTTATCAATGTTTTGGAAATTTCCATGAATGTATGCCCATTTTACACGTTCAAATAGTTATAGAACATTTGATGTCTTTGGCTCGGTCTTTGGTGTTTTTCTTATGTGGATTGAAAAAAAATCTTGCTGATGAAACACTACATTGCAGGAAGTGTAGAAAGAAGCCAACTTTAATTTCTTGACTTCTCCAAAAAATCAACTTTTAAAAAATATCTTGCTGATTATTTAGCAGGTTATTTAGGTATGCTAACTAGACTGTAGAGTTTTTCAGTCAATAGAAATGATGTGGTAAAACATTCTCTTTTTGTAAATTTTACTATTCAAGCCCCTTTTGACTATCCCGCCACACATTACTTAGTTAGTTAATAAATATGTTCATGTTCCACATTTAAAAAAAATATTTTCAGGAAATTCATAGAAATATTATTTTTCTTTTCCCTATCGTTCTTGTGCACAATATCCCAAGAAAATGATGACTACTACAAGCTTTTGAACATACCTAGAGATGCTACACTTCAAGAAATTAGAAAGGCTTTTAAAATTATGGCTGTCAAGTTCCATCCAGACAAAAACCAGGTATTGCAGTGATAAACTTGTTTGAAAAATAAATACAAACTCTATTCCAGTGAATAGAATATTATAGATCTAATGGGTCAATTCTGTGCACATCTGTAAGCAATTCTATAAATTTCTATAAGCCCATAGCTGCCTAGAGACAATTTGTAATTCTGCACTTGCTGTAGATTACAGAATATATTATGGGATCGTGAATATTTCCGATGGAGTGTTTGGCAATCGATGCGTTTTGCAGTGTCTATAGGCTTATAGAAATTTATAGATTTTCGTACAGATTGCGCAGAATTGACCCGTTAGTGTAATAATAAATGTTTTAGGAAGATCCTGATGCGGAGAAAAAATTTATCAAGTTAGCAAAAGCCTATGAGGTTTTAAAAGATCCAAGTTCGAGAAAACAATACGATTTACATGGGGATGAAGAATTCAAAGACAGAAAACAGAATTATCATAGTTATTCATATTACCGAGATCATTTTGGAATATATGACGACGATCCTATTATAGTTACACTTAGCAAAAATGACTATGGTATTAATAATGATTTGACAATGCGTTACAGTGGTTCACATACATAATTTTAGAACTCAATGTCTTGGATGAAAACCAAGTATGGTTTGTTAATTTCTATTCACCGCACTGTAGTCATTGCCATGATATGGCTCCAATATGGAGAAAGTTGGCATTAGAATTGGAAGGAGTTGTTAGGATAGCAGCAGTAAATTGTGAAGAAGATTACCCGTTGTGTCACCAATTAGGAATTCGAGCTTACCCCACTTTGATGCTGTATGAAAAAGAGGTGAGTTAGTATTAAATAGGTTTGGTGAGCTTGTTCTCTATTGCCTATATGATAAAATTGGACTGCTCTTTTGGATCTGATTTGCGTGTATAAAACCTTTGTCCTTTAAGAGATTTTAATTTTTTTAGGCACATATGTATGATGGTGAGATTTATCGGGGACCACAAACTCTAAGAGACATTCAAGAGTTTCTTCTTTCCAAAGTTTATGTAAACATCAAGGAAATCAATGCTGAAGAATGGAGTGTCTTGAAAAGTGAACAGTGGGTCCTTTTTTTGTGCAGCGAAGATGACTATAACTGCCCTGAAAAAGATACCATCAAGAAAATAGCATCAGCTTTGGTAAGATAAACACAAACAACTAAACCAGTTGCGAGGAATTATAAAACTACATTTTAGGAAGGGCTTTTGCAAGTCGCAATTATAAAAGACAGAGATCTTTGCGAAGAAATATCAGATAGCTACAAGAGTCAACCCCTTATATTTTGGCAAATGGATGATAAAAAAATTCCAAAAGTGCACATCATACAGGGATCGGATTTTAAAGAAATTGTGGACAAAATTTTAAATATTTTACCTCACCCACCTTTACTAGATGAAAATAAATTTCATGTGAGTTTTTTTTTTGTTATAAGCAAAGCTCATGTTAATACTGATTTTGTTTTTAGGATTTGAGGACAAAGTTAAGACTAGGATTTGACAAGCCTTGGCTAATATGTTTTTATTTGGGGGCTGCAACTGATTTGAAATTGGAACTGAAAAGGTTACCCGCTGTCATTCCAAATATAAATATTGGTAATTCATGTTAACTTCTCACTACTTAATAGACAAAATTTCCAGTAAATTTATTCATAGTCTCTAATTGAAAAGTTCAAACTGCCTGCATTTCTATTCCAGGTTTAATTCATTGTGGAAAAAGTGCTGGACTATGTGCAGCATTACACATAGCCCGTTATCCAACTTGGTGTGTTATTAAACAAGGTGGTGCATTTGAAGTGCATCAAGGACGTGATGTGCTACATGAAGTTGCTACCTTTGCCAGGGATAGTTCTAAGAGTACAAATTTGCATGCCTTAAGTCCCGCCGATTTTATTAATTTGAAGAGTGAAGGTAATTTCCTTGTTTTTTCATACATACATTACAGAGTATTGTGCCTTTTTCAAACAGTGGATTTTTAAAGAAACACTGTGTTATATTGGACCAGATTGGTTAACTTGTCAGTTAACTCAAATCTTATTAGAAAATGAAACCTGTGTGAATATCAAGCCACTGGCAGCAAACTGGCCATATTGTACTTTCATGACAAGTTGACTAGTATCTACGAATGAATATTTTTCTCTATCTCTATCTCTCTATTCTCTATAGGTAGACACCACCCAGCATAAAATAATTAGGTATTTTTATAATATATTTTTTAATATTTAAGGGACCCCTTGGCTGATTGACTGGTACGCCCCTTGGTGTCCTCCATGTAAAAAACTTACGCCAGAACTGCGCAAGGCTAGTCAACATTTTGATTCTGAGATCGTACAGTTTGGCACAATTGACTGCACTTTGCATAGGGAATTGTGCTCTAGCCAACAAATCAACTCTTATCCTTCGATGTTTTTATATAATGGAAGCAACATTAAAATGTTTCAGGTAGGAATTAATTTTTTTTTTGTGTTTTTAGGCAACACAACACTATTATACACTAGTTTAAAATGTTTGATAATCGTTTATATAGAATTCTGTGGCAACTGAATTTTTCCGTCTCCAATCTTGATTTATCAAACTAATAGTTTTTTTTTTCTAATAACACCACTTTCCAGTGATTGTGGAAGAACTCAAAATATAACTAAAAATCCTTGTAGTATGAGTCGCAGTTCTGACTTATCTTTAAGTTTCACTTTTTTGACACTGAAACATGCTCAAGTTACCTTTAGTTACAAGTTGATTATTACAGTATCCTTTCCTTGATGGTCGTCTAATCTGATTCCAGGGCACACCAAACGAAGTATCAATAGTAGAATTCATTCAAGATATCATGAACGATGTTGTTCTTAACTTGGACGAAAATAATTTTAGCTTGTTGGCCAGAAAACCAGCTGCAGAAATGTGGATAGTAGATTTTTTTGCGCCATGGTGTGGACCTTGTCAACACTTGGCACCTCAATATAGAAAATTAGCTAAATCTGTAAGTCAATGTTGGTGATAGACAATTTTATTTTTTTCTTAAATTTCTTTTTGTAGATTTCCCAGTTTAAGGATATCATAGTTGCTCAAGTAGATTGTGTAGCAAATGGGAAACTGTGTGATTCCCAAAATATTCGAGGATATCCTACGATTAGATTGTACCCGTTGGGCAGTAAAGGCATGGGATCTGTGGTGTAAGCATTATTTACTATACACTACCAAGTGTCTTATCATATAACACAAACAAATGAAATGAAATTTCAGAGAAGTTCAATATTGATTAGCTTCTTTGACTATTATTCAATATTTTTAGATGCTTAGGTGTATTATATTTTCTTTTAGAATATACAATGGTCAAAGAGATGCTATATCGCTTAAAAGGTGGGTCCTTAGTTTTCTGCCTTCTAAAGTTGAGGATTTGTCCGAGCTAGATTTTAAAGAACAAATTCTGAAAAAGAAATTTTACTTACCTTGGCTAATAGATTTCTATGCACCTTGGTGCGGACATTGTGTAAATTTTGAACCAGAGTTTCGGAATGCAGCTCAGGTATTTTAATTTTCCCTCTAATGCTGCATAAAAAAACAATTTATTTTATATGATTTTAGAGGTTAGACGGCAAAGTACGCTCTGGTAAAATTGATTGTGAAACTAATCGGATATTTTGTGGTTATCAAAGAGTTGTTGGGTATCCTACAGTAAGACTTTATTTTTCGCCTACTGAATATGTTAATATTGGCAGCCAAGAAGCCAATGCTATTATAAAACAAGTTAAAGCCCTTTTGGAGGAACGTGAAAATCAACATGACGAGTTATAGGAATTTTTATATAAAATTTCCATTAGGCAAATTGTTAATTCTAACAATTTTTTTTTTTGGTAATCGATGACCCTTAACTAATTGCTGCCTGCTAATGCCAAGTGATATTATATACATATTTTTATATTTTATATACTAAACCTTACTTTTTAATAGTGGGTAATTTATAAGGAATCTCCAATAATAAATACTTTCAAGTAACTGAAGTGGAATATTTGGAACAAATGGTTTCACTAAACTGACACTTAATCTAAACACCGTCCCTTAAAAAGCTTCCATTTTACTATAATAGTGTTTCAGTTTTCAGGGCATTGTCTAATTTTAGAAAATCCAATGGAAAAAGCAAGGTTTTCCTTTAAATCAGTAAAAAAATCCATAGCTACATAAGAAGTCGATCTAAATTTTTGCATTTTTGCTCGAAAGAGAATATTTATTCCAGACTTTCAGGTATTATATTCCACAACCTAATTTATGAGAACTCTTCTGAATGAACCACTTCATGTGTTATTAATTTTGAGTTAACATTGCTGCTAAAAAAATCATTCAAAATATATTTTTTCTAGCACTTAATAGTGCAATTATTTATTTCATTATAAACAAGTAAACCAGGACAAATAACTCAGTAGTCAGTAGTGATTTATAAACTGACTTGGTACAATAAATAACTATATTCATTTGAATTATTAGATTGCATACATTCTAATTTTGTCAATCTATTTCCTAATTTTATACAAAACGTGGCCTGAATTCAAGTTCAAAACGCTGGTTCCTAACAAAATGCCAAATAACAAAAGTTTTGTCTAATGACATTCGACAGATTTTATAAAAAAAAATTAATATGTACCTATCTATAAGGTTGTAAAAAATAAACAAAAGTTTAAAATTATTCTAATAATGTTATGATTTTATGATGTCCTCCTAATGGTTTTTTGTTTAAAATTTCAGAGATCTTATAAAATTTTATTAGAATTTCACTAATTCACTCCCATACCAATGGTAACCGCCGAAGGTTGCCAATTGCTGTTGGTCTCCACAACTTACAATTTAAAATTGATGAGACTTGACCGACTAGGTAGAAATGAGACAGGTTTCGGTAGCTCAGTTGGCTATAATGGCACTGGATATGAGAGGGTCCAAGGTTCAAATCCTAGTCGGGGCAAGGAAATGTTTCATCAAGTTTAATTAATGTCTGCATGCCACTTAATTCTAACATACTGTAAATTTATTAGAAAGGTTTAACTTTGTAGATGAAAATTCTTAGTGGAGGATGGGGTATCTACCAGTGGTTATCATAGGAGAGGAAAGTAAAGTAACTCCGATGCGAGAGCCTGAGAGTAGCTAATGTAATATAGAGAATTATAAAGAATGTATTATTCAGCGCTCTTGTAACTACCTACACTAGTTTTCTTTTTGTTTGAATTCGCCTATATAGGTGTGCCTACAATAAGCAGACCTCCAATTCACCTTTTTAAATAAATTCCAAAATTTTTTAGTGAACTGCAAGATGATTTTCGGCTATGAATCTATAAAAGGAAAATGTTTCAAGATTCTAGTGAGCTACATATTTATTTATCTAATTTTTTGACACAGAATTATGTTCTATATATTCTCTAATCTATCCCTATATGAGGGTGTCTTCGCACTAATGCATTTTACTATGATTCACAAGTAAAGATCTAAGTACCTAATCTAAAATATTTTTGTTAGTATACAGGAAAAGTACAAATGTATAAAAGTGGAGTTATATCTTTGATTAAACCTAACTTCATAGGAATTTTATGAAGTAGGTACTCTAAAATTCATTTATATACCGGGTGTCCCACTAAGGTCGGCCAGGTACGATATTATGGAGACCATAGACCTCACGTAACTTGAAAACGAATGCAGATATTGAATTGCGGTTTGCGCCAAAATGTAGATATTTTTTTGCTCTTTAAGCACAGCAATACAAAAATAATATTATGCCATTTGGATTTTTCATGAAAATTAGGAAAAACTGGATCTTGAATAAACAGCGCCCTCTAGCAGACGCGGTGGGAACTATCGACCTCGAACGAAGTGGTGTTCTTAATAACAATGAAATTCTCTTCCAAATAGACCCAAATTGAATGAGTTTGAATGAGGGGTATGGAAGATACAGCAATTTCTAAAAAAAAAATTCACCAGCTTCCCCCACCCTTATTACTGAAGATACGAAAAAAAGCCTAATAACCAAACTGGCGCAAATATTAATGAACTTTTGATTTCTGTTGTTAAAACAGTATCTTAATATAGCGATTTCTTGAGAAAAGTTGAATTTTTAGATATATCATCGTAATTGCGCCCCCTAGCGGTCATCCTAGAAACTTGAAAATAATTTCCATAAATTTCTCTTGGCCGATTTAGTGAAGAAAAAAAAAATCCCGACGCCGTAAGGTCTATGGTTTCCATAATATCGTACCTGGCCGACCTTAGTGGGACACCTGGTATATTTTTTTTGTTTAACTTTAGTTAGGTAGTACCTGTGATATATTTACATATACAGGGTGTCCGCGATAAGGACTCGCTAATTTTCTTTTTGTTAGATATGTATTCAATATGCATCCACAGCAAAAGGGTAATTTTATTTTAGAGCTGTAGAACACTTTCTTAGCCTCAAGTTTTGATAATTTGCTGAGAAAAAACGAATTGCACATTCAGAATTTTCAATAACCAATATTATTTTCAATTTGTATTTACGTACAATGAAAATTTGTACTGGAAGGTTTCAAGTGACCCTTAATAGAATTATGTCGTCATACCATTTTTTTTTCTCGAAAAATTGATTTTTTTTTCTTGCTCAATCCCCAAATAATAAAAATGGTTAGGATTAACTGACCTTAAAGCCGAATTCATCATAGTAAGCATTGGAATTTGCCCTGATTACAGCCCAAAAATAAAGTTACCCACTTGTTGAAGGCATTTATTAACAGAAACCAGTTCAATTACATAGGTCAATAAATTGAATAAATGGAGGGTACAAGGCTTGGGGACAAGGGTAGCAAGTTCTTAAAGCGGACAGTCTATATAAGTTCCAGTGGGGACGTAGTGTCTGGACCATTTATTCAAATTTAGCCCCAGCCAAATAGTAACATATATATTTATAATTACTACTACTTTTTCTTGATACTCTTGCACACCCATTCCATTCCTTCGCGCACGCCAATACCTTGAGCAGCTGTGCATGCTTGAATTTGCCATGTTCTATCTTTGATGGATGGCAAATTAAGTGCCTGGGCTAAATCTGAGGCCGATAACGAATCGGGTAAATCCTGTTTGTTGGCATATACCAAGAGAGGCACGTTATTCAGTTTGTCGTCGCTCAGTAATTCATAAAGTTCTATTCCTGTTTCTTCTAAACGCTTCTTGTCTGCTGAATCAACAACGTATATCTGTAAATAGAAAAATGTAGATAGAAACATACTCGGAACGATAACTGTAAGTTTATATTCGCTGTCTTACCAAAATGTCAGTATTTTCAAAATAATTTTTCCAATAGGGCCTAATTTTTCTTTGGCCACCAATATCCCAAACATTCAATTTAAACCCGTCGCTTATCACAGATTTGATATTGAACCCTGCAGTTGGGGTAATACTGGTTATGTCTTCGGAAGCCAAGATTTTCAGTATGGTCGTTTTACCTGCATTATCTAAGCCTAGAAGAAGTAACCTGAGTTCTCGTTCTGGCGTGGAAGTCAGTTTTCTCAAAATTGATAATAGTCCCTAAAATTACAAGACTTATTTTTTAAATGTTAAACATTTTAGATTGTTTGTCTTTTTGGTAATACATTAATACATAGACCGGGTTCAATAAGCATCAAAGCCAGAATAGCGGATCCATTATATGGAGAACAGTGAAGATATCTCAGAGAAAACTATTAAATATAGTGATTGGTAGATACCCTAGAGTTATGATAACGCGCAATAAGGATGTGATATGAATAAAATCCCTGATTATTATAATACAATAAGAAGCCCTTAGGGCCGGTATTTCAATAACGAGTCACATTCGGGTTGGTTTTAACTCCAGGTTAAACGTGTCCAAATGTCATGTTTACCCTGAAGTTATGCTTAACCCGGGGGTGACTTGGTATGGAGAAACCGGCCCTTAGAGGAGCCCCTTTTACTTATATGCCCAAAGGATTATTTATGAAATATACAGCGACTCTTGACTCTTTAATTAATGAGTATAAAATTTTCTTTTGGCAATTCATTAATAAGTGGCCTAAATGCATTTCCTTGACAGTGTGAGGAATCTAATCCGAATATTTGATCCCTGTCTGATAAGCTGTACTATGTATGCTTCTAATTTTTACATGGCGAGCATTGAGTAGAAAAATCGACAACATAAAACTTACAAATTCGTTCTTTACTAGTAATAAAGCATCCTAGTTTTTTTGGTTTCCTGCTCATTTGGCATACCAACGAAACAAAGGAACTCTACCGAGTGTACAAAGAGAACGCGCCCAACCACAACCAAGGAGCGCACTCTGGATTTGGGCACTTTTGGAATTTTACTACCGATAGATTAAATGGGTGAATAAACCGGTCGTTCTCAAAAAATTCCGATAAAAGTCAGGTTTGTGTCCGGTTACAAGAGTCTTCTCATGCATTTTTGAACGCAAAGTTGCTACTCGGCAAGTTCTTCTGCGCTGAACTGTGCCAATTCCAATAAGTATACAAAAAGAAACTCTCAACAACAACAACCAAAGGAGCGCATGGTGGAGGTTTGTGTCCGGTTACAAGAGTCTTCTCATGCATTTTTGAACGCAAAGTTGCTACTCGGCAAGTTCTTCTGCGCTGAACTGTGCCAATTCCAATAAGTATACAAAAAGAAACTCTCAACAACAACAACCAAAGGAGCGCATGGTGGATTTGGGCACTTTTCGAAGTCTACCGATAAATTAAATGAGTAATAAACCGGTGGTTCTTAGAAAATTCCGATAAGTCAGGTTTGAGTCCGTTACAAGAGTCATCTGAATCTGCATTTTTGAACGCAAACTGGCTACTCAGCAAGTCCTTTCGCGCTGAACTCTACCAAGTAGGTACCTAAACAAAAAAAGCGCTCAACAACACCCAAGGAACGCGCTGTCAATTTTTCAAATCCACTGGTAAATTAAATGGGTAAATAAACCGGTGGTTCTTAGAAAATTCCGATAAAAGTCGGGCTTGAGTCCGATTACAAGAGTCTTCTGATGCATTTTTGAATACAAACTGACTACTCAGCAAGTTCTTTCGTATACAAAAAGAAAGCGCTCAACAACAACGGAGCGCACTGTGGATTTGGGCACTTTTCAAAATCCACCGATAAATTAAATGCGTGAATAAACCGGTGGCTCTCAGAAAATTCGGTTAAAAGTCAGGTTTGAGTCCGGTTACAAGAGTTTTCTGAGTTCTGATGTATTTTTGAACACAAACTTGCTACTCGGCTAGTTTTTTCGCGCTGAACTGTACCAAATATACAAAAAGGAAACTCCCAACCAAGGAGCGCAGTCTGGATTTGTGCACTTTTCAAAATCCACTGCTAAATTGAATGGGTAGATAAGCCAATGGATGATAGACACCTACAGGATTGCTTATCGGCCTCGTTTTTGGTAATCGCCGCCATATTGGTGTGTCACCATTTCCGACGTCATAACTAAGTTGTCAGCTGTTTAAATAGCCTACGCAAAGGCGAGAAATAACTTGCTGTTACGTCACAACTGGTGATTTGGCATGGTGGGGGGTGGGGTGGGGGGGAGATTTGTTCCAAACAGGCCTTATGAGGCCTATCCTGTAGTAGTAATGTGTATCATCGTTGTAAATAAGCCGGTGACTCTCAGAAAATTCCGATAGAAGTCAGGTTTGAGTCCGGCTATAAGAATCAAGTCCTTTCGCGCAAAAAAGTTCTTTTTGGAAGCCTGAAAAGATCTTTTAAAAGATCGAAACGCCGCAGTATTTGAGGTTTTGTTAGCGTGACCATGTCATTTTTTCGTATGATAGATTTCATTCGCCTATGAGACAGTGTTGCCAACTGATGGGATGTGAAAATACCTAGAATTGAAAAAAAATATCCCTAGAATTCCCTAGAATTAATTTTTTTCAAATTCATTTTAGAATTATTATTACAGCCTAATAATAATTGTAATATGTATTGTAATTCTTGTAATTTACAAGAAAAAAAATCATATTTTTAAAACTAATCGCACTAATCCTCAAGTTTTCAAAAAGCAACACAAAATTTCCAAAAGCAATTAAACATTGTTATGACGTCACTGGTAGCGATAATAGGTCTGTTTCTGCAGAAATCACAAACCAGTCAGAGTGAATTTCATTGGTTGAAACTAGTTTTCAGACTGTTTCTGACTGTTTTCAACCAATGAAATTCGTTCTGACTGGTTTGTGATTTCTGCAGAAGCAGACCTAGTGACGACAGACTGTTTCCTGATTTGGATTCGACGCGATTGTTGCGGGAATCCCCACACAGATCCCGTTACACAAAAGGCAAAGAGCACTTTACAACATACAAAAATGATACTGTTGTACACTTGGCCAAACATGAAACTGGTACAGGCAATGTAAATTTTTTAAATTTGCCCAGTGTGAGCCAGGCTTAACAACAAGAAGTCTCTTCTGAAAAACTTAGGTCAGATCAATGAACTATAACCACGCACACATATTGACGAACGTGAAGCCTAGTGCCGCTGCTGCGAAGGGGATACCTGTTTTTGTCGCACTCATTATGTTAAATAGCGAAAATTGCTTCCAACACGTATTCCAATTGATGAAACCTGTGAAGGTAAATATGACAAAACTATCGAAAACGTCATATGTCAGCGAGCAACAGAAAAAAACAACATTCCCCTTTGTGGCATCTGTCTTTCATGGCTTCATTTTACTGGCAGATATGGCAATGTGTGCGCATTCCAGTTTTTTGCTATAGTTCATTGGGTCAGACAGTTTTTGTCAACGACAAAGCTGAACAGAAGTATGTGCAACATGTTTTTATGTTATGATTGGTTTAAATATGACAATGACTTGACTCTTTTCTTCATTGTTGAGTTGATAAAAAAGGTCGATTTACACAATACAACACAATAGGAAAAGCGTACCAGTTTTATGATTGGCCAAGTTGTATGTAATTACTCAGACGAACCAGTAATAAGGCGACTTCCCATTTTTGAAGAATTTATAATAATATTATTTTATATGTTTATTTTTTCAGAATTAAATAAATTGTGTAAGAAAAATTAAAAATATCAGAAAACTCCTAGAATTTCCCTATATCCCTAGACAATTTTTTTTCCATATTTATCCCTAGAACTAGGGACAATTCCCTAGAGTTGGCATCACTGCTATGAGAAAGAACAAAGAAGAGATTTGCACCTAACTTAACAGTTAACGTTAGTCAATTCAAACGGCAAGGTTATACATCGTCACTATGGTAACCTACAAGCGTTTCAATAACAACAAATGCATTGAAGCAGTTTTGCCGTTTTCAAACCTGATTCGATTAAATCACTATAAACTGCAATTTATTTTGATATAAGGAAGGTTAACTTACCATTTGGCCGTGAGAATGGTTAATTTATATAGCTAATCTGTCTAGAAATTCAAATTATGATCAATAGCAAAGCACTGTCGGTGTTGTTTAGAAAAAGACGCACAAAAATTAAATCCGCACTATCGCACAATAAAATCAATAAACTTCTGTTGTGAAGTGAATTAATAAGTTGGAGCACAGTTGGGCGAGGAAACGTGAACAAACCAGAACGCAGAAAGATACTCGGGAGTGACGCAGCTGAGCACAACAGAGTACTCTAGGCGGGCCTTTAAGGAAACCGATAATCCCGATCACCAGCTGTTTGTGTTTGTTTTCATTGTGTTTTTCAACTTTCTTTGATGAACAGGGATTGAATTATACAACAAATTAGAACAGTTGGTGATCAGAGTTAATTTCACCAATCACCAGTGGTATCTATCATCCAACAATGCGGATATTGTGCAAAGGGTTCAACTTCTGCAATCAGCTCAATGCTGAGGGCCACACTGTGGAGAGATTTTGCACCACTCTGGATAGTGACTCTATCAATTATTTTCAGTTAAGCCACACTTTTTCAGTAGCCCTAATAAATGATAAACTATACCTAAATTGTAATTTAGTTGACAAAGATCAAATAGACCTTACAGGTGTTGGCAAAATAAAGAAAATAACTGTGTCAGATAACTCTAATAATGCTATACAAATATTGAACAGCTGTGGAGACATATTTAAAGTTTCATTCGATGATTTTGTTGTAAGGCAATTACCAAAATTTGTTGATAGCGAAGATGTAATCAAAAATATTAGCTCTTATTCCAAGTTAAATGCAGCATACACAGAAAAAGGTTGTTTATACAGCATTCCAGAACGTCTAGAGTTTGATAATAAAGACATTGTTGATATGCAGACTGGTAGAGAGCATGGTGTTTTACTGGATAAATGGGGCAAAGTTTTTACATTTGGTTCAGGAAGGTATGTCATAACACATATACTTAGGTTTCTATCTAACCTCCTTTGGCAAATTTCTATGGAAACATTTTTTTTTTTACACAGACTTGGACAGTTAGGAACTGGATATTTGGAAGATCATCAAAATCCAGTAATAGTCGAGGCTCTAGGTGGTATTACAATAATTCAAATTGCTGCAGGTGCGTTTGAACTGAACATATTCAAATTATTGTGCTCTAATAACATTTTTTTTTTTTTTTTTTTACTAAAATAATATATTATATATAATATTACATACCGAGTAGGGAAGTGTTTCATTACTGTCGAAAGATTTATATAGTCAATCGAGACGCAAAGTGTCGAGATTGACTATTAATCTCGAGACAGAAATGAAAACTTTCCTCCGAGGTTTGTATACTATTTTATTTGCAAGCACACCATTAATTGGCGGCCCAGCGGGGAAAAGGGTATAAGTCGAAAATTGCGAAAAATGGGATATGTTCATCATTCGATTATAACCATTTAATTTATCTTGGGGAACAGTGGTACAAGTACAGAAGGTACACATTTTCATCAGTATTTCAATGTGTTTATCGATATATATTCGAAATCCACAAACTTTTTTGTCAATAACGATATTTGTCGACATATACCTTAAACCAGAGAAATAACAAAGCACTATTCTTAGCGAAAAAGGATATAACTAGACTTAAACCAAACTCCCAAAATAATAAGCGGAGAAATATTGTGAAAAAGGATATATGTATACTAAAGCTTTTGCGTGCGTGCTTGTGTAAAAGGATATAAGTCATTTTTTTTGTTAAAATAAATGTGTGAAAGGATATATGTTGATTTTATTTTTTGTTTGAAGCGTTTTGAAGTAACTTCAATATTACAGTCTAAAACATGTGTTTTTCAACTATCTATCCACATAATAAAAGTTTGAAAAAAAGTGCTTATACGAAAATCCCCAATAAAATTATATCGTCTCAATTTATTTCAAAATGAAAACAAACATGCCAAAATATGTCATTCACCTGTTTTGACGTTTTTACCTGACATGTTCTCATTGTTGCCAGCAAAGGTAAATAAATTCGAGTCAGGGAAATCAGTGAGGGAAGTCGAATAGGGAAATCGGTGAGTGAAATCGAAGAGCGAAGTGAGTGAAGTGACACAGGTAAAGTGTCACTTTCAAATTTTTAAAAAGTCAGTAATGTCGAGATTACATATATGGTTGCAAATAAAAAGTTTATTTTTGAAAATAAATATAATTGAAAATTGAATTTTCAAACTGCTGCAAATATGCGGGCTAAGACTGTGACGTCAGAGTCAAGCGTTCAGATTACGTCGGGCTATGTTGTATCCTTGTTTTCTATTACCCATTAGATAAAGACAAATATGTCCTTTAAATGTATCAAAAATAAAACTTTTTAGTTAACAGCTCACTAACTAGAGCCTACAGCAGTGGCGGCCAGTGGCAATCTAGTGTGGTTGTGCGCTCTTGGAAAATTTTTTGGAGGTGCCACGGTGCCACGTCCTGTTCTACATTTATTTTGTATGTTGAATTTTTTTATCTTTACTTTAGGAAAAATTATCGAAAACAAAAATATATGTATTTAAATGGGGCTTGAATGTTTGTATTCTAGCCATAATACATAATTGATATTGAAATTTATAATTAAAAAAAAAAAACCGCGAACAACAGAGTTGTCAAACCGCCAAAATGGTGAAAAAACATCGAAATATTCTCGATTGAGTGGAAACAACATTGGAAGTGTGTATTCAAATAGCGCACGGCGCATCCCTTTCATCGGGCGACTTACCGTATATTCCCGATCAATCGCACAGCGAGAAAACACATTTACCCAGAGCGCCGAACGATTCCACACCGACCACCCGGACCACCAGCACAACCAAGCGGGAGAAAAAAATATACAAAACAGGCGCAGGGCGCGCTTTCGTTCCGTTCGAGTTCGTGCGAATTTAAAAATAGAAAAATGAGTAGATGTTTATCCTAATTTAGAAAATTGGGTAGGTATTTTTTAATTGAAGTTTCTTTTCTTTCCAAAATTTTAATTTTATTTTCTTGCTTGGTTTTTGGAGGCAGTGCGCGCGCACGAGCGCACTTATTGAGAAGCCGCCCCTGGCCTACAGTGACTTTATCACCACAGTGGCGACAATTGCCATCTCATTTCTGATTGGTTCTTTAAAATCCTATATATTTTAAAAATATCAAAGCGTCATGCGACATTTTAATGAGCACAAAATTGCACTACTTTTTTCTGATTCAACCGAAGGCGTATGTCTTTCCGTAGGATTTCAAGGTAGGATTCGAATACCGGGATTCCAATACAGGATTCGAATACCGGGATCCGAATACAGGATTTGAATACAAAGTGAGTATCCAAATACTGGGATTCAAAAATGGTATTCAGAATCCAGAAAACGGAATACTGACCAAAAAAGTATTCACTTGAATACCAAATACAGAAATTTATTCAAATACTATTCTAATACCAGCTTGGTACCTTTACATACAGTGGCGACAATAGAGGTCCCGCCGCCATTTTGTGCCCAACCTCTTGCTACTTGCTACTTGCTACTATTTGTATTTCGAATAGGATTCAGAATACCGAGTATTTGAATACTACCCTAGTCTGCGTGCTAGAAACCATTAGCAATAAAGATGATTCCTTACTTGTGTTAATTTTCACAAGCATTAAAAAAAAAAACTTGAAAAAAGCGGAAAAAAAGATCATAGTTTTAGATTTATGTAAAGTACATATTTGTAACATTGTTTATTACATAGAATGCTAAAGTTTATTCACTTTGTACAAAATAATAGGAAAAAACGTTGCATCCATGCTAACTGTATGTTGAAAGGACATTTTGCATTCCCAATGCAAGGGCATAAATATCAGCTTTAGCCAATGAGTGGGTGTTTTCAGTCACCTGAATTTTTGTTTCAATTTGCTATTTTTACTTATCAATCATGTAATAATGATTTAGTAATCTGACTAAAATCGTACAAATTATTCATTCTCGGCTGCATACATGTATCTGCGTCAAAAAATATCATAATTTGCCATATTCCCAACATGTGAAATTGGCCTTTTATTGAAACTCTATTTATTTGTAATATTTTTCTTATACAGCTTTATTGAATCAAAACAATAATTTCGATAAGTTCATATTCAAATCTTCTATTGAGTCTTTATCAATGTTCTTATATTTTGACATACTATAACTACTCTGTACTTTCTACTGTTCAGACTGCTTTAAAATCTTTGAATAAGTAGAAAAAAAGCTTTTCTAAAATTTCTCTTCGAAATTATAGGTAGGCACCCCTTAAAATTGCCAGAGAATCATGATGGGTAGCTACCTAAGTTCAAAAATGCAGAGATATTCTTGAATCTTTAATTAATAATTTTTGTGGCATCTTTATCTCTTTTATTTTTAGGTGGTTGGCATTCTTCAGCCATTAGTCGAGATGGGGATTTGTATGTTTGGGGATTGAATGTATCTGGGCAATTGGGCTTAGCAAAACCTGATGAAGAAATCAAAAAGAATGTATCAGTCATGGCAACTCCTCGTGTTGTTGATATACATGGATGTGTGGAGAATAATGTTATTCAGGTAGCTTGTGGAAGCAGACATACAATAGTTCTATTAGGTAAACTATTATACCAATATTTTTTCAGTAATTTATATGGGTAAAAGAAATATTGAAACCCTTTGAATAACAATAATGAATTCTCAAAAAGTACGACCATTTCTAATAATTATGCACCCACTAATTGATTAATTATTTTGAAAATAATAGGGCAATCCAACGACCTGTCAAAATGAAATTCAAAATGGAGGCCAATGCCTTTTTATTTAAAATGCAGAGATATTTATTTAAAAAAAATGCCGTTTTATTGCGATTTTTGATTTGTATAAAGTCGGTAAAGTGTTGATTTTTTGGAAAATGCATACGTTATGTATTGTACTTAGTTGTGGGAGCAGTTCTAATCGCGAGAAAGTCTAGTTTCATGCCGTTCCTGCAGAGACAAAACACAGGTTTTTAACGGAGAAAAATGATTTGTCTGTACTTTGTGAGGGCTTCATGGATTGTAGCAAAAGAGAAAAAATCTTACGAAATTCATATTAAAAAACCAAAAAGTCTCTCTACATAAATAGTGTATGGATCCAAGCCATTTACTATCTTCCACATCAGCTTTTGTCGATACCTTGAATGGCAGACAGGATTCAGAATTTGGTTAAGAAAAAACTAAACAGGAAACAAGTCTGGATAGTATCTACCTAATTGCTTAGCAGGTAAAGGTTTGTCACACAGAAATCATAACTTTTGCAAACATCCGGGTTTTCCACTAATAATTTCTTAAACTAAAAACTTTCCATCTTAAAATACGAAAATTATCCTCCCAAACACTAGAAAATCATCTAAAAACAGCACAAAATACACCAAAAACAGTTTTTTGATGAAAAATGTCACGGTTGTTTGAATTAAATTTATGGCGCCAATTTTTTGGCATTGACCATGCATTGACCGCCATTTTGTTTGGATTGCCCTATTGTGTAGTCTTCATTTTGTAATCGGTAACAACTTTCAATAAATCTTACGTTACAAAAAAATTATATCAGTTTCCGACTTTAAACAAAACTGCTCCACAGGAGTTGAAGGGGGTGTGTGCGCCAAATATTAAAGTTTAAGTGTAAAGAATCTATTGTTTGCCCAGCGGATCTGAGTCTACGGAAGGAATTCGGACGTAAATGTGCCATGTTGCCACGTTTAATTATAAAAAAGCGAAAATACTAGGCATGAAGTATAGTTAATTTGAAAATCCATTTTTTGATAACAAAATATTGATAACAATAATAAAACGCTAAATGTTTTAACGTGGTTGTTAGACCTATCCTTATTTTAATCCTGATTTCTTCAGTTTGGTCTATTGTAAAAAATAAACATTTTCTAAAGATACCATCAGCTTTTGACAATTTGGCAAGCATCCGTCCTGGATGAACCTGATTGGTGGAGTTTTTGGCAGGATCGCCGTTGTCATGGGGAACCATACGGTTGTCAAAGAGCTAATGTCACCTTACGTCTCGCTATTGGCCAGGGCTCGCGTCATTTTATCCTCCCATCTTGGAATATCGATTTATATTGACATATCCAGTGGCGGTGATTTGGTCATTGCTGATTTTCGTGTAGGAGTTGCAATACGATAAAACTTCCAAAAAGTTCCGCACGCAGCTGGGTATTTTATGAATGAAATCAGCCATTTTTTTTTACAACTGCATTCCCCTTACCGTTGCCCCGTAGACACAGACTCGCTGGGCAGACATTACTAAGAGTTCAACCTCGTTATTCTACGATAAACCATCCCTGAGATATATCGCCTCAAATTATGTGTGACGTCACGAGAGCTTCGTCCAGCCGCGCTCCGCATTGTTCATTTGTTTCTTCCCGGCACGCGTCAGAAGTTTTTGTTTAGATTACCTATTGCAGGTGACACAGGAAAAACATATGTAAATTCAATACGCTTCACTATCTCGTGCGTCGTTTGAGCTCTCGTGATGTCATGGTGAGATGTGGTGCTTTCATAGAGCCACATCTTTGGTATTATTTGTCATAGAGGGGTGCTGTTTTCACTGTTATTCTAAGATTTTTTTTCTCTTTTTTTTTGAGATGAAGTTGTTTTTCTTGTGCACACCCCGTTCAAGCATGTGCAGTTTTCTTTGCAAAAAAAGTATTTTCCACAGAAAAGATCCATCCATCCATCCAAGTGGCAACAATTTATTAAATACTCTTCCATGTTTTGGTTTAATGAATTAAAGCTCTATTTTTTTTTGTAGATAACAATGCTCTTTATGGATGTGGATGGAATGAGTACAAACAACTAAAAAATGATGAACAGAAAAACTATAATTTCTTTGTCTTCATTGAAGATTTTTCGCAAGAACGTATTGAGAAAATTTTATGTGGTCCCTGGAATTCGGCTGTGATATGTAAATGAAAAATATTTTGTATTGTACTTACCTGGAAACACCTCGTCTTTGGAATAAGTAAAGTAAAGGTAACATTTTGAGTGCACAGATTTAATTTCCTATCTCTGTTAACAATAATATGTACGTTATGATTGTCCAATATATATTCAGGTGCTGGTTTCTTTTCTGGACACCTCTCTTTTCAGAACTGAAGAAATAATAATTGTCAAATTTCTGGTTACCTACCTAATTAAAGAAAAAATAATTGAAAACTATAACCTTTTTAATAGAGTATATCTATGTTTTAATATTTAGGAAAATTAGAAAAAAGGAATTTGAAAATGAGCATACTCCCATCACAAACAACAAAAAAATGTATGTATGTGTGTATGTATGTCTGGGACAATAAAGCATATTTTGATTTGATTTCAATGATTTTTAATGACCTTTCATTGACGAAGCTGAGCTATTGGAAAGCTCAACAACTTCATGAAGTAGTTTCAGAGCTGTCAAAAGTATCTTTGATTTTGAATAGTATCTAGTTTAACTAGATAAGTTACTTTTGGAAAAAGTATCTGAAGTTACTTTAGGTATTTGTGTTCAAGTTATCCAGTTATATTAATTATTTAACCGAAGCTCGGTTTATTCATCTTTAGATAAACTTACTGGTCTGGTCTACTAGATAAATTTACCAATCCAATATAATTCTATTGGTTGGTGGATAACTTGTTGACCAATGAGATTATAGATTGCGTTTTTATCCGTCAGATTGCATTATCTGAGAGTTTATCAGAAAGTGAATAAACTGGTCCTAAGTTGGGTATAATGGGTCTTATTACCAATTATTCTATTGTGATCAAGCTGCCCTGAACCGACCAAACCAAAACACTGATCTTAGTGTCGTTTTTCATCAGAAATTTCGCCTTATTCCCTATGTGAAATGTTTAACTAATGCAGCACTTCCGATGTTTGGTTTTATAGCAACAAACTCCCAGAACTTTGGAAATAAATCGAATCTTAATTTTCTCTATTACTCTTTTGTTAGATCTAAACTTGAATACGCCTCCATTATTTGGAACCCAATTTAAGCACGTCACACAAATTCGGCAGGGTTCAGCATAGGTTTTTCAAATATTTATTGTTTAAAATGGATGGTTTATATCCAAAAAGACCTAATGAGACTTCCTTATTTGTCAGCAAAAAAGTGCACTTCGTAAAATTTCTTTTTAACCAACTTCATAACAATATAGACTGTCATTTGTCTAGTATCAATTTCTTAGTGCCGCGTTTGCTGAGTAAAGATGATCAGACCTTTCTTTTACCCACGCCTCAAGTTTTGCAACCTGACTTTGGGAATCTGCTCCATTCAAGGCAACTTTGATTTCTTTGCCAACATCGATCTTCACTTAGCCCCTGGCACTTGTAACAGCTTTTAAAAAGACAAATAGCAGAACCAAGAGGATGCTAATTTGAGCTCAGGAACTGCTATAAAAAAAAATTTACCACACAGAAATTGCAAAATATATTTTTTGACGTGCTTTTGGCTTACATTAGGCTGGGCTCCTGTTGTTTCCTGTCTCTCCTACTGGGACGTTTGAGTAAGGGATAGTAAGGAAAGGTAAAAAAAATAAAACGCTTATAAACATTGTAATGTAGTCCACAGTATAATAAATACTGATGGTATACTTCAGAATTACATTATAAATATACAATGTGTATCGGTATATTTTTATTTTTGTGGTTTTAAAATATTTTCTGAAAATAACAATTTCCCACAAAGCAATAATAATTGTTCAAACACTAACTTTTTTTTAATAATAAAACATTATCATTTACGAGTCACAGTGATATTTATGAACAAGAATTGTTGTATTCTTTATTCTTCAGGAAAAATACAGGACCGCCAGTCCAAAAACAATGCTGGTATAATGTTATAAAGGGTGAACATCTAAAGATAAAAATACAATTAGGGCTGTTCTGCTTTTTTCCTTTATATGATAATATACAACTCGCTGATATTTGATATTCAAAAAGGTTTTTTGGATAAGACAGAATTTCAATTATGCTTTTCCAGCAATCGATTGCATCCATCAAACCGTCTGTTTTTTCTTAAAATTTAAGAACACATTTAATGGTTTGACTTACAAAATACCTGTAACTAGACTATTTTCAAAACCATATGGCATTGTCTCAGGAAATAAAGAGGACAAATCTTAAAAAGAATACAAATAGTACATAATGCACATTATGTGTAGCAAAACCTTCTTAATTCGTCCTTGAGAAAACACTGGTAGATACTAATATATTTATCTATAGCCTTTATAAATTTCATCCCAATATTCCCTGACCAACTTGAAAACTAGTTTAGTTAGAGGTGCTTGTGACATCGGTATGTTTTTATATCATGGTGTAAACTCGGAATGTAATGCAGAGGTTTGATGCAGCAGGTTATTATAATAATGGTTACTTGATGTGTTAATCATTTTCTGTAGTTTACTCTGTATTAACAAAAAAATCTTTTTGATTCTCTGTATCATAAAATATTATAATAATATTCACGCTAAAAGGCATTTATAGTCACAATTTAGTATGAAATATAAGTAAATTACACAAAAATCATAAAATTGATTTTGGCATAATAATTTCTTGTCTAGTAAATAACATATTGTCAAAAAATTGAATAATAAATTTAAATCTGTACATTTAGTTTTCTTTTTTTGGGTATACTTATTATATTGTATAAACAAACGGAATTTGTTGTAATTTGAAAAATACCTTTTCTTTTTATCTGATATTGTTTTGATATTTTGGATATGACAAAGTAGTACATATTATATTTTGGTCCCAGTTTATATCTGTATTCAACTGCAAAAAGTGGGTGTGTATTTTTTTTATAAATCCGAGGGTATGGCATATTTTAAAACGACTAAATTTCACTAAAAAACGAGAATGTATAAAATTCCTTCTACTTTTCGCGTACCTCTACGATTTTTCAGTCTTTGACAATTTTCTCTACTACCAATCACATTTTGTATTTTCTCTAATAGTTTTTTTTTTTGTTTTAATAAGTAATATGTTTCTACCTTCCCTAATCAAAAGTTAATAAAAATATTTTTGATTCCAGCGCACCACCAAAAAACAGGTACAAAAATATTACAAAATTAGAGTGCTACCAAATTGAAAAGACACTTGGTGAAGAAGTTCTGCTTGATCTTCATTTGAGTCATTTAAAAATTTATTGAAAATACATTTTCAGGCAGGACTGTTAAAGTAAAATATTATTTTACTCCAACAAGGCTGCTTTCTGTGCTACAGTTTCTTTTAAAGTTCGAGCACTACTCAGATGTTTTTTTTTTCAAACATTCAAGGTATTTATAATTGAATAAGTTAAATTCAAACTAATTTGGAATGTAATTAAAAATCGAAATAATCTGTTAAAAATTAATAACATATTGTTATATAATTTTCGAAATATGCCATTTGTTAAATATTAACCGGTGTCATCCTGGTTTGAACTTGTATAATGCTGCTACCACAATGATGAAGAGACAAAAATGGGGAAACCCTAAATGTAAGCGCTACATTACTATTTACGTACTAAAAGTATTCCTAAACACTACGATTAGTTAAGTGCCGCCACCGTATTAGTGTTTCATGTACAAAAAACTCTAGTGGGTATTAAACCTAACCTTGTACTGTAAGTGTCAAAAAGTATGACATATAGATACTACCGGCTATTTAAGTATACACTCTGTATATGAACGTTCTACAAAGAAGATGATACGAATATCGGATTAGTAAAAAAGGTCTTTGACGGGCGTGAAGTAATTATTATTAAAAAATTGCTTTACACAGTAGTGGCAAATGTTCCATTTTATGTATAACTTATGTGCGATTAAAGAAAACGGTTTAGACTCAAAAGAAAAAGTTACAAATTGGTGGAAATATTATTTAAATTTTTATTAGATAATTGAGTAGATATATTGAAATTTGCAAACCAACGCGTCGATTCGTTGTCGATTTTTTTGGAAATAGTTCAGAAAAGCATCCTGAAGGCATAATCGCATTTGCGGAGATAATGATCTTTGCTAACTTGATTAAATATTTCCGAAGCTATGTGCTTATCGTAAAGTATATTTTAGACCTTTTTGGTAGAAAAACAATTTTGCTTTTTTTACAATATCCATCGAAACCAGTTTAATATATGAATTTTGTTAAGAAACAAGAAACCGAATATTAAGTTTTACTTTCCATAAAAATTATTTAATTTATTTTTTTCTCAAACCCAGTGGTATCTGGATATTAGGAGCAACGCATTTATTGAGATGGTTTGGACAACGACGCAATTTTGCACTGATCAGAAGAGTATTCCTGAACTATTAACAAAAATTAGAAATTTCCACCAAATTTGTTGGAGCACAATACAATATTAGTAACAAAAAAAAACAACACATTGATCAACTTTGAACTATGATAGAAATAATAAAACAATGAAGAATCTACACAAGAAATCGCAACATAAAATAAAACGTAAAGTCACATTCGCCTCTTGATTTTTCAATTAAAAAAATATGGTTTCTCTTCATCAAAGTGGTTAAATGTGGGAATTGTATTGTGGATACTATTGTTATATATATGGTTGCTGTAAATTAAATTTGGTTTTACCTTCTGTTGAATTTCAATGGCTAGTTGGAGGTACGATGATTAATAATTGTAGAAAACCTGCACTAAAAATATGGATTTTTGAAGTACATACTTTATTTGAACTAATAAAAATATTGTATATTTATGTGAGTATATTTTAATGTGGATTTTTACAGTATATTCATCGATACAAATTCAAAAATAATAATCTGACCCCAAACTTGCCAAAGAACAAACCGAAAATATTGGAAATAAACATTATTAACGACAGTTTGTCTGTAGTTCAGCAGGCACACAAATAATGAAATATTCATAGTGTGCTAAAAAGTACTATTTACACGATATTAAAGCAAAACTTAAGTATTAATAAATTCACCTACTCTAGCGAAAACTAAAATTATTTAACAAATACATTGTTATATAAAAAATCATTAAAATTATGTGTATGTAAAAAAATATGTAGGAAAACTATAAAGTCGTATTCGTGAAAAAAACTATTGTGGAATGATAAACTTAAACTTATAACAAAAAAAAAGACCTTGGTCCATTATGTTTATTTTTTAATATAAATGAAAATACTGACACTTTAGGGTGCACATAGATCAACCTAAGGATAGAAAACTTAATTATTTATATTATCAATGATCCGCATAGTTCATTTTATTAAAACTTTTTTTTGTATCTTTAAATTTCATTAAAAAAAATTCACATCGATTATTAAAATTAAACAATAGTTAAAAATACATCTATCAATGTAGAAAAACTTTTAAAATATTCTTAAAACTACATAAATATTATCTTTCAACGCGCATATCAAAAAATGTCTTCAATTAGTTTGAAATCAATTTCGGATTTTTATAAAGCACTAATACACGATTATAAGTATTTAAAAAAATGACCTATACCGAAAAATCTCAAATCCCTTTCGTAAAAAGGCATAATAATATTACTCATAATGTAATAAAATTTACAGCTTTAAAAAATAATTTTTCTTTATATATAAATTATATTCCTAAGAACACAAATTAATTTTCGAGGAAATATTTAATTTTTAAGAAGACTTTCAATAAGTAGATTTGTTAAAAATATTTTATACGCGTATACTTTTTAAGGTTACTTTTACATTGTTGGAGTTTCAATCGCTTTGGACCGCGTTTGGTTTAGTCTAGAAGCTACATGAATATATTTTTTTTTTGTATGAAGTAATACAAAATAACAAAATACGTATATTTTCAATTTTATCTAAACCTTTAAATTGCATCTGGTCATCTAGCCTCTAGACTATAAAAATCTAAAAAAATTCAAAAGAAAATTAATATAAAAGTGTTTAAAACAGTGGGTGTCGTTATAACAAATTATCACAATGACAATAAAAAATAAAACGAAAAAACAGTTCGTAACACGTAACACTAGGTATAAAAAATTGCACAAAATAGTGACACACTTGCTTTTATCGGTTTACAATTTGCAATTTAGTACACTGTATACTACAAGCCCAAATGGTTTTGTTTTGGTGGACCCGAACTTGACTCAAAAACTATTAAAGTTATTCCTGTTCACATTGATCAATGATACCTTTTTATTATTTATTACAGAAGCGGTTTTTGTTTCTATTAGAAAGGCAAGACAAAAATTCAATCTTTCAGCAATGAACTCCCCTCACCTATTGGGTTGAAACAGAAAACTTTCTAAACTTCTCTCAGTTTTCCACAATTTATTGATGTACGATGCACATGATTTTATGAACTATTAATGTTGCAATAATTTTTTTACTTGAATATCTTATTAGATAGTATGCACATCCAAAATTTCCAATTATCATTCTGAAACAGGGCTATGCAAAATGACATATCAACCTTCACTTATCCCATAAGCTGTGAAGGCGCCACATCATACACTCGGGGGGTTGGCTCCTATATTTGGAGTCTTTGGCAAATCTGAGGAAAATATTTCCTAGTCACATTATTTGGTAATTTGGAAATCGTAACTCGATCGCAAGTAACGATCTTGGATCTACTTTGGTACAAATTGATAAATTGAGCGACACTCCCAAAGGTAAAAATACTTAGCTTTAAGCGCAAAGTCTATGATAGCTCCGTTTTTCCAGTGCAGACCTACAGACTGGAAAACGTGGCTCTGACTAAAAAGACCACTGAAAAACTATGGGGTCACTCAAAGATCTATGGAACGGTTTATGCTAGGCTTCATTAGAAATAAGATTATCGGACACAGAAGAAAAATAACAGACATTCAAAAGCAAGTGGCAAGTGGAAATGGGTGGAACATGTGGTGATACGAAGTGCTGACAGGTAGACGCAAATAATTATAAAATAAAAAGAATAAGAATACGAAGACCACACATGATGAAAATGGATGAAAACTGCACACGAAAGACATGGGAAAATATGGAAGAGTCCTATATCCCGCATTGTATGAATCAATGCTGAAAGACGTTGCAAGCACAGATATCGGGCGTGTCAGCTTGCGATATTGTTATAGGAGCAAAGTGTTTGATAATCGACCTCAAACTTTGGAACTATTGAAACGATATACTGATATTGATTAAAACAAATTGAAATATTACAGCTTTATAGATTGAGGTCGCTTGACTGTAATATACAAGAAATAAAATAGCCATGTTTCCTAGAGATCGTTGGTTTGATTTTTGAGGTTCCGTATACGACCACATATAAAATGGATACTCCATTCTGCCTAACCCTGTTTTCAACTATGTACCTATTTCATATGAAGTAGAAAAATTACAATAAAAAATTATAAGCTAATAAAAACTGTAGGTATACGGAAAGTTCTTTGCTTGATAAAATTTTTGTTATAAGGAAATTCAAAGGTGTGGAGAAGCTGAGAACCTTTAATGCCTATTTTCATATCCTTTATAAGTTTTTACAGTTTTACGTTCGAAATTAAATCGCCTAATACCGCGTATCCAGGAATCCATAGATCGCCTTACACTCCTCGGACGCCCAGTTGCCAATTTCGTAGGACTTCAACTAGTTAGTTCTCATCAGATGGGCTGATTTTTTATTTCTGTTAAATTGGGCGCAATATTTGTCAAAAACAAAGAACAAGCTTATTCGATGAGAGCCAACAGGTCCAAAATTTTGTCAAGGGGACTTTTTTTTTTAAGGATTTGTATCTGACTTGTTGAATAGTAAACGTTTATTGATTTTTGCTGAATTTCAAATATTTTTTCCAAAGTTAACAGTGCGGCTTTATCTTCTTATTTTTAACAAAACGTTTTTGAAATACACCATTCTTTTTCCTATGGTCTTCAAAACCCACTGGAACGTCCCTCAAGCGTACTGACTTAGATAGTTTCAATAATATTTAGCCGAAGTATTTAATTGAATTGTGAAAGTATATATCCAAAACAGTTTTTGTTGAACGGTTCCACCAAGCGCAAGCGTAAAAGTGAGACACACAAACATTTAAAAACAGTGTTTTCTTTTTTTTTTTCTTATAAAATCTTAGAACTATGAACGGCGAAGTCAAAACGACTCCAATCAATAGAAATACATTTTTCTGTGTGTGTGAAACAATGTATTCCGTGACAACTGGCGGGTTTTCTGTACCCAATTGATCACAAATTTAATATATGTGTATCTTTTATTTTATTTTTGTATTATTATATTTGTAATAAATATCTCAATGCTAATCTTGTGAATAAAAAATCTGGCACATATATGGTTGGAATGTTTATGTTTGACAACACAATTTGGTTTTGTCGAGATCGTATTTTGATTTTCTGTGATGGAGCTTTAGATTTGTTCGTGATAACTCATCTCTTACTATTTTACAATAGCCCAAACGACATATAATATCAGTTCCCATATACATCACGTTTTATTGCATGACTTTGGACCAAACGTACGCTTTTACTTGACCAATATATAAAATTGACCTCAAAAAAATCTCACTGGCCCCATCTTGCTAAAAACTACGACTTCACAGTTTGTCCGATTCTTCAAAAAACCAAATTGAGCTGCCAAAAGATATGTATGAAAAGCATACCAATTTTTTATATACATCATACAGCAAGTATTTGGTCCAACTTAAATATGTGTAAGTTTTACTGTTAATCTGGTTTGGTTTGGAGGATGCTAAATCGATCTTCTCACAACAGATATACAAGTCAAGACAAAAAATAATTAACAATTGATTTAGGTGAATTTAATGCCTATTTATAAATGCATGAGCTACATGTACTTGGAAAGATCATCATATTTCATATACTCGAACGAAACTAAATACCTGGGTTTGAAAATTTTTTGAAAAACACTTTAACACAAATCCAAAATTTGATAAATGTAAATAAAATTTGGATTTTGGCAGTAGAAGTTTTTTTTGTTAAATCACATGTAATTTGTTGTTATTTTTTTATTTTAGATGAGCTTCACAAGTTAAAAATAAAATAAATTATTTTTGATTTTTTTTGGATATTATGCTTCAATGTGTGAAGATAGTTATTTTAAATTTTTATTGCACCCATAATAATAATTACCCAGTGTTAAATGAACCAAAATTAATCAGCTTTCCAATTAATTTGCAATTGTCAAATTTCTCCTTAAAAACCGATTTAAAACATTGTAGTCGAATATAGTGCTCTTTTTTGGCTTTTCTGAACGCTACCTCTCAGTAAAAATATACAAGAGAATATCTAACGGGTCTTGCGATGCCAAACATTGCACCAAGTCTAGGTCTGGTTCTAGGTGTACTGCTACCATGATATTTGCATCAGTACCTACCTAGTTTTTAGTGACCAGACTTGGTGTAATCTTTGGCAACGAACGACCTGTGGTTGGAGGCTGATTGAGAGATAGTGTCGGGATCACAAACTTCAAAAATTATTGACCTGATAAACTGGTTCTGGTTTTCATTGTGTATCCAAAACTATATCTACTAACGAGGTGCAAGAAAACCGGAACACTCATAGTTGGATAAGCAATAAAAACTGGGTACCTACCGGTTTGCCATTGTTTAACTCACAAATAAACATTTTATTGCTAGTTAAAGTGAGTTACAAGGAATGGAGAAAGTAAATATAACTGCCATACTAAACAGTTTATATATATAAAATCAGTTGGGAATGTGTTTTTGTCATATCAATAAATGTTTTTGTTGTCAAATTAAATTCGTTTTTGGCTCCCTGTATATCTGTTGTGACAAATTCGCTTGGCAATCCGCATAACTGTCGGTATCGGTTTGGTTTATGGTTGGTTGTAATCATCTGACGGTTGTTGAAGAAAGGGGGAAGAAGCATCTTTTTTTTAAAACTCTACCTGGAGTCAATCTTTTATCTCTCAAACAAAATAGCTTCCATTTTTTCAAATATATATAATATACTTTTAATATATCTTATATACTAGTTAATATTGATGTAAATATATATGTATTATGTATATACCATCTAATTGCACTTCATTGTTTATATGAAAATTAAAAAAATCAACAAAATAAAAATATCACTCGGAAAACTGACAACGGAGATGCGGTTTATCTTTTTATTAGTTTTCCTATAACGGGCGTGTCCAAGAAGATCAGTCCAGAGATCATTGTTCACCATATTTTGATTCATAATATTTAAAACAACATTTTAACATAAAAATTATCTATCTAAGTTTTGATATATACTTTTGATTTGAATTTGATACATATTACAAAGGTCAATACCTATATAAGATAAAACGATGGATTACTTTATTCTTTTGCATCAGAGAATTGGGTCAAATTTTTCAAGTCAAGTTCACTTGAAAAGATATCTTTATTGATTGCTGAATTTACTGGAGACGAAGAAATGTCTCTTCAAGCCTCTTTTTGTTGTTACTTATTAACTCGAATCTACCTAAAATGACAGTTGACAGTGGCTGAAACAATACACAGTTGAAGCGTTTACAGCAAATGACAATCGGATACCATTGCCTTATTATTTTCTTTAACTAGCTTTTCGATAATTTTGGACAGAGTTGACACAAGGGCAATAGACCAGAAATTTGCCGATTTATCCAATTCACCACCCTAATGCAGAGGCATTCTCGAGAGAAGACCACGAGGCGGTGATCTTAGCCAATGCATTCAAGGTACAGGAACCTACCTCTGTCAAAATCTCATGACTACCACAGGATTTTTTCTCCTTCATGCTATGCAGGAGACTCGCAATCTCCTGCCTAGAAGTGACAGACAGTTAGAGGGAATAATATAGTAATAACTAAAGATGTATCAACAATAAAAACTCCCTAAGAGAGATGAAAATTAATGTGCTAGAAGTAGATGTAATATCAAGAAGTTGTTAACACAAAATAGCGTAACGTTCACGGAAGATACATGAGAGAAAAGCTTGGGACAAAAAACTAAGTGAAAAAATATTTGTTCAAATAATTTCATTAATTTATAATGATACAGGTACATAAATTATGCTTCTTGGTGTTCGAATAAGTCTGCTGTGAAAAATGAATTTGTTACAATATTATTATGCTGTCTTGTGAGAGGGGTGTTCAACAGCCAGTTGATAATGAAAAATACATAGAAATTAACAGTTCTGAAAAAATGTACCCAAAAAATTATTGAGTTAATATAAAACCGTGCAGTTAAACCTAACTAAAACGAGCCCCTAGAATCTTTTCAAAAATCACCAAAAAAACTAGGTACAGGGTTATTGGTTATAAATACCACCCCCTCTTTCTTTTTTATTTGACATTTTAGAAAAAAAATTCTAAAATAAAAGTTTTATGGTTAAAATTGAATTTTTTGAAAACTCACTTTTGCATCTTTCAGAAAAGCTGGTGGTGCTCCAACTTTCTTATTTCAAATAGAATACCCTGTATAATATTTAATATTCCGATTCTACGTGAAAATACTCAAACATTTTGACACTCACAAATGAAATCTACAATGATGTAATTTTGACATTTTTGATAAATTGGAAAAGAACAAGATTTGATTCTTTTTTGAATTAAAGCTATTGACAGATTCAGACCGCTGTCAAAATGTGACGTGCATGAACTTTGTTCAATGTTTTATCACCAATAAACTACCTTAAAACGAGAAAGAACCAGATTAGAGTATTTATTTCTACTAAAACAAATGACAGGTTTTGAGAGTTCTGTAATTTTTTTTTCAATTTTTGAATTCAGAATTTACATACAAGTTAAAAATGTCAGATGACATCATAAAATATTGAAAACTGGAAAAGATAAGTGCTGCCGTTTGGTAGGGTTTTGACAGGTGTCAAAATGGTTGACATTTTTCGAATTAACTTGGTCGACTTAGTAGAAATAGATTTTTTGTTCATCAAAATCTGCCATAGTTACTCTGCTTTTGGATATAAGATTCCAATATTTGACAGCTAACCACGCCTCACCTGTCATATATACAGGGTTGTGCCTATGGTAAAAAATGTTGCTTACAGCATCCCCAATAACATATTTAAATTTCATCCAAATATCACGGGTAACCAATTTCCATTTAAATATTGCGGGGTCCTTTACCCGTTTAGGTTTTATAGCCTCTCAAATTTGCAAAAAAGTCAATTTTCAACTGTAAATATTTCCAAAACAGTTGAACTTGAAGGTATTGAGTATATCACATGAAATCTGCTCAGAATTTTACGTAGATTCCGAATATTCAATATTATAGAGAGGGTATTCCATTTAAAATGAGAAAGTTGGACCACGACCAGCTTTCCTGAAACACCCTGTATATGCAAAAGTGAGTGTTTCAAAAAATTTAATTTCAACCATAAAACTTTTATTCGGGACACTTCTTTCTAAAATGTCAAATAAAAAAGATAGAGGGGGGTGACATTAATAACCAATAACCCTGTACATGTTAAAGTTTAAAAAAATTGACTTGGTTTGCTGACAATGATTAGTTTTATGATTATTCAAGAGGCAAAGCTGCCTGAGCAGGTAAATAGAGAATAATTTGTCAATAATTTTTGAAATTTTGACTCATTATAATCAGTGTTATGTTAGGTAATTGTGTTTACCAATTCCCTTGATTCAATCAGAGTAAAAACATCTATAAAGTGATTCATCACACAGGTGGTTATGACATTTTAGGGGAGAATTCAATCCCCACAAAAATTATCCCTAAAGATAAAGTAAAACCTATTTGCAAAAAACCCTTGACTTTTATAAAGAAAGAAATCCACAAATTTACCTATTAATTTGAAAAATATTGTTTCAATATAATATTGTTGAAATATTATGAACCATAATTACCTTTCTAATTATTATTTGTTTAGTATTGGAACTATAAATATAAAATATCTAATGATCTAATGGCATTCATTAGAAATTTATATTTACAATAAAAATAAAATTTCCTAAAAATTAAAGATTCTCGATCTTGTAGAACACGTCCTGGATTATTAAATTTAAATATTTTTTTTTTCATATCAGTTAACTACCTGCTAGTTGTTTAAATTTTATATAATATTTAAGATATTTTTAGAGAAAATATACATCAAAAATTTTGATTAAATCACAGATAGATATAATTTTTTTCATTATCATTCAATCAATCGCGGGATACGACCCAGAAAGGATTTCGATATATTTAGTATTAATAACGTGATCTGGTAGTTGTCGAAGAAGCTCTCAATATAATTTATATTACGCGAACATGGAAGGGTGAACTTTTTTTAATACATTTTGAGGTATACGCGACACGTCAAGACACATAGAGGATACATTTAAATTTTTATACATATGCCAAATACACCGAATGATTAAATACTTATTACTGGAAGAACGATCAAATATGTTTATAAAAATTTCCTTAAAAAGAATTTCAATATACATACAATCTAATTTATATTAATATCAAAATCAGTATTTCAATTCCGTTTTATTTTGGCAAAAATTATTTATAAAATATAAAGTCATTGAAAGTATATTTATTTATTATTTTGTTTGTTTAATTACTTCATTTGATCAGTCTTCCTGCGCTTATTAATTTGTTTAAGAGTATATATTTTAGAGTCAAAAAACACCTAGTAAGTATAGATAAGTCTGCTTCGACAATTACCGATCAGGGACAAATCTACAATGGAAACAAAAGTTCTAAAAAAAAAGAAAACAATAAATATCAACAAACACGTCATATCGAGCTCATATGTTCTAATAAACTTACAACCAAGTCAGGAGCGCCCTCTATGGAAAGAGGGCGGTCGATCTCTGCGAACTGTGTTTTTTGTTTTAGTAAAAAATTCTCTCTCTTATAAAATGTAGGTGTCAGTCTTGTGGTGCGTCGTTATCTGAGGCACTGCTTCCTGCTGTACTCTCGGCTGCGAGTCCTGACCCATTTCTAAACCAAGGAAAAATAATTAAAGCAAAATATTGATAACAATCCTTTCTGAAAACCAACAACATAATGAACCGGAGCATATTTTGACTTATTGCTGTAGACCCAACGAATTTATGTCAAGTCCATGAAGTGATCACATCAAGTGATATCAACCCTAGACAAATAAAATACAATACGATGAAAATCAAAGAAGACACAAGGTAGATAACATTTTTTCCAAAGTATAATAGAATAAACAATAAATGATATGATAAAATACAAAGGAAACAATGAAATATTTGCCCTACAAATGGTACTTTCATTTCCTCACGTACATAGTTTATTTTTTATGTATATCATACTTTTGAAATATTGAAACAGATGACAAAGTAAACTGTGAGTAACCTACCGCTGTAAAATAACTACAATCAAACAATTATTAAATTGTCTTAGCGGGAAAAATACACTTCAAGATAAGTTAACTAATCATGTGAACTGAACAACAAACACCAGAGTCGAAAGACATTAACAAGCTTGAGACCTGGTGTGGGTCACTGTGTGGTGCACTCCTTAATGAAAATATAGACGAAACTACATATTTAATCCATTAGATTTGGACTTACCTATCGGGTAGGAGTTCGCGAAATCGCACCAGCATCTCGGGTTTGAGATTTTCCGGCTTGGCTAAATCCTGTTTTAAGTAAATCCTTGGATGTTTCCGCTCGGTGTCGGTGCTGTCTTCGTCACGACTTCGTTTCCTATCAGGCGTAATCATGGAATCAGTCGAATCATTTGACAGTTCGACTGCATGCGCACCTTCCGAGTTTGCATCCCTGTGTGAGTGAAGCGGTGAGGCTCGCTGTCTCGAATCTTCATGATTATTTGAGTTGTGGATTCCTGGAATTACTATAACTGTCAAAACGGTTACTTTACAGTTTAAACAATTAATATTATTTACCGGTTGAAAAATTCAGAGGACTTGAATCTTTTCTATAAGATTCGTCTCCTGAACTACTAGCGTCTGTTAAGTTCGGTTTGGAAAGCGGTGTTAGACGACTATTTCTGCATAGCTGATCTAACAGCGCTTTATTCGACATATTTTCAGGTGCCGTATGTTTTTCTTCTTTTGGTGATTTCTCGTCTGCTGTGGGTACGCCCGATTCCAAGCTGGACCTTATTATGCCGTCCAAAAATGAACTGAAAAGCAATATTACAAGTCCTAAAATTACACAAACAATTTAATTCTTACCCATTGGGTCCATCTAACAACGACTCCGCCATTTGCCTGGCGCTTTTTGCTAACGTGGTGACACCTCCTTGAGGAGACGGTGTCCCCATCGACCTTTCTCGTCCCTCTTGTAGCTTCTGCATCATCTGAGATGCAAAGAACTCGGGCGATAAGAATGGTCCAGCCGAATTTCTAGCACTAGCAGCTGCAGCTGCTGCGGCATACTCCATGGGATTTGGAGAGAAACCAGGATGTGGCCAGAAGGGAAAGGGAGGAGGATAGTTGCCAGCAGCCAAACCAGCGGCTGCAGCAGGACTAAGCCCAGTTCCTCCGGCATCGAAAAGTGGCAGCTTGATACCGTTGGGTGAGGCAGGTGGGAACTTTTGCTGGGGAGGTTTAATCACATTTTGTTGTTGCTGCTGTTGTTGTTGCTGTTGTTGTTTAAGTTTTTCCTGTGCTATTTTGAGGTCATTTTGTTTAAGACTAGCTATTTTTTCATCCACGGGATTAGGTTTGGGATCTCTCTTTCTGGGTCGCATCAAATGCCGTTCCTTAACTTTGTATTCCAAAGTAGAGTGGGGAACGCCATAGTAGCTACCGGCACGATGTACGGACATTTCCCCACGTTGCACAGCCCTAACTGCTTCGACTAAGCTATCTCTGTCATAATTTCGATATTTACCACGCTTTGGTCTAGTACCTGGAAGTATTACATAAAATTGGTAAAGAGCTTGTATACGAGTCTTTGGCCTTACCTTTGCCTCCAGAAACTTGACTACCTTGATTCTGAGGTTTAGCTGATGGTGGCTGATGATGTTGATGCTGCTGTTGCTGCTGCTGTTGAAACTGTCGACTGGCCTCATGTTGGCTCTTGATCACCGAAGGTAGACTACCACTCGAAGGCGGTGTAAAACCACCCCTTTTGAAATCTAGGTCCATGCCCATAGGTCGTCTGATTGGTGTATCCAAGCCTTGTTGGAATTTTTGGGTGATGCTCTGCGTGATAACGTCTTTTATGTGTAAACCTTTTCCAGGAAGGATGGGTGGCGAGTTTGATTCGCTGGTGACTGGTGGCGACACCAGACGTGAGTCAAGTGAGTTATTTCGGATGAATATATCGCAACCGTTATTGATTGTTGCGGATGTCGCCGACCTATAGGACGGAATTTTATGTATCACATTCGAGGGGGATTCTATTGGTTCTGGGTCTACGTCGGATGGCTTCTCGACCTGAAATTAGAACAAATATTGTAATTAACTGGTCGAGTTTTGCCTTGGCTGATTATTTACCTTGATTATAACTGAATTTGACGGACTAGGCCTTGACAGTCTCTCGCTATCACCATTATTGTTCTGCATTTTCAGGTGCTCTTCCACAATAAGTCTTTTTGCTAACTCAGGAATGATGGTATTTAATACTGATCCATCTGGAGGTTTTTGGTTGGCTAAGATGTTTTGGGATGCAATCAGAGCCTGCAAATAAACCTATTGTATGGAGTTCCTTTAGTAATTGAGTTCAAAAGACTTGAGACGTTTCCGTCACCAGAGGGTTAGAGTAGCATGTGCTTGATGATAATAATTACGTAATGTTCGTGCTGGTTGTCAAATATCCTTTTGATAATGAATTAACAGTGTTTTAATTTAAAAATATTTTTTGTTTTGTGAATATTAGTGTGTACTATATAAGGATTTCTTACATTTCGTACCTGGAGGTACTGGATGACCTCGCTCTGATCCAAAGGTGTAGATCCTGCTTCGTGACCTTCTTTTGCTTTCTGGAGGAAAAGCTTAATTGCTTCGGGCGGATGTTCCATACCAGAGAACCGGAGGATATCAGCCATGGAAAGCAGAGGCGCCTGGAAAAGAGGTGACTGAAATAAAACACATTTTAGCACTTGTTTCGATTTCAATTCCTACTTGCAAAGCCTTCTCGACCTCCTTTTCCTCCTCGGCACCGGACAACTCTTTGTCGTCATCCAACGCTTCTTCTTCATCCAGCCTAAGAGGTGTGGAACTGTTGAGATGGGACTCACGCTCTCGTTCTAGTGCCAATTTATACACTTTGTTCCGTAAAGTGGACCGGGGAATTCCGTAAATGACAGCTGCTCTTCTTGTACCTAATTTTCCAGACTGGATATCTCTAAGAGCAGCCTGAAGCTCGTCCTCTGTATAGGTTCTACGACCTGTCACTGCTGACATCCTCGGCTTGGCTCTAAAATCAGAACTGAAATTACGGCTAGGGTGAGTATGATTGTTAATTCCAGAACCGGATGGATTAAATAATATGTAAAACATTAAATGTCGCCATTACGATAAATAATGTTTTGACGAATTTTAGTGTTTTACGTCTGTACATCTTAAAATTAGGGAAAAAATGATTGATGTTAAAGATTGTTTTAGATAAGATTATTGATAATTAGGTGATGTTTTTTGGTCAAGTTTCAGAAGTCTGGTTTAATTTTATGGCAGTATTCGAGAAGCATATTTTTCCTAAAAAATTTAAAACATTTCTTTGAGGTAAAATGTTTGAGGTTGCAAGGTTTCTACAAAGTTAGAGATACAAATAAAGCAAGAAATTTTGTAGGTATTTTTTGAAAATCTGCGAGCATTTAAATAATTGGAATTCTCAAATGAGTTCCGTACTTTTCTATTATTGTTTCATCTTTCGATATAGGCTCGCGGGGTTTAAAATTTATTTTCAAGAAATATACCCTTCAAGAAACAAGAAATAACAATAAGAAAATAAATCGCAATGTTAAACAGACAACTGGTAAATATGAGAAAACCTTGCATAGGAATTTAATTTAGCAAAATAACATTGTTCGCAACAAGCAAGAGTCAAGATAAATGCAAAATGCAACAAATAATAAATTGACCTTGTCCTAGTTTGGGAATTTTGCCTCCGCGAGAAATATTATCAGCCGCAAATGCCGGTAATTTATTCCTAACCAAACCAAACTAAGGAATAATTTCACATTGGGCACAATGGCGTTCTTGAAATTTTCAGCAAAACACAATTGATTATTTTTTTTATTAAACTACAGGTTGCAAATTGCATAGTTCGTTATTATTAAGCTGACAATTTATTCAGTTCGTGATTATTTCTTTGTTTACGGTTTACATTTCAATATGACGCGACCCTGTCTGTTCTGTATGTTTTATTGCAGTTTTATAGACTTTAACCGACAAAAAATTAACGTCAGATTCGTCAGAATCTGGGAGTCTGTGGAAAGGTTTCTATTCATAGGTTCTTTTGGTAATAGGCAATTTTAAAAAGGATCCAGTGTGAGTCGAAGCTCATTAATAATCCTACAAGAACTGATTTTCGGGAATTAGAAGTTTTTAAAACTGGCACCCTACCCTATGAAGATGGCTTTCTTTCGAACTTTTCGAAGTAATTTCGTGTTCAAAAATTCTAATTGTGCCTCGTTGTCGTTGGTGGAGGTGATAACGTTGATGTAGGTATTTTACACTTACAGAGGCAGTAATGATTTTTGGGATAAAAAATGTATTGCCCCACGAATAACAAAAAATTGTTTGTACTGTCATAATACATATCATCACGTGTTTGATAATATGATAATTCTGATCCCAAAAATTCAATGTTGGGATCCTAGGTAATAATATATTCGGGATAATCCAAAACCTACGAAAGCGTAGAGCTGCCATGCTAATATTGAGAAATATTTTTAGGAAAATTTACAGTTTTTCTGTAAATTTACACTTTTTCTGTAAATTAACACTTTTTCTGTAAGTTTATACTTTTTCTGTAAATTAAGTTAACAGTAAGGGTTAGTTTGGATTAGCTTGCAATTTTAATCAGACATTTCCCAACTTACCAATAATAACTCGGTTAGTTTGGGTTACTTTGCGATTTTAATCAAACATTACCATTATGTTTTCCAAATTATTGATTTTCGAAATAAGCGTTTTCGAAAAATATATTTTCAAAATTATTGACTTTTGAAAGAAAAGGCTTAATTTCGAAATAACAGAATTCGGAAAAAAATCGGAATTTGTATTTTCGAAAATTGAACATACATAGAGGACTGATAAAAATTGCAAACTTATCCAAACTAACCAGGTTATTGTTATTGTTGTTGGTAATGTCAGACTAAAATTGCAAAGTAACCAAAACTTACCGGGTTATTATCGGTAAGTTTGGTAATGCCTTCTAAAAATTGCCAACTAACACAAACTAACCGGGTTATTATTGTTAAGTTTGGTAATGTCTTTTTAAAACTGCAAACTAACTGGGTTATTATCCGCGAGTTTGGTGATGTCTGATTAAAATTCAAGTAACCAAACTAACTGAGTTGTTATTGGTAGGTTTGGATATATGCCTGATTAAAATTACAAACGAACCCATACTAACCGGGTTATTATCGGTAAGTCCGTCGTTTTTAATCTGACACTTTCCGTATGAAGTGCGAGGGGGTGAAGATTATGGCAAAAACAGGTGTAACGTCAGGTGACCATTGGCGGTCTGTTGGGAGCCACCAGCTCACATTCCTTTGGAGTATCAGATTAAAATCGACGGATTGTATGTCTGATTGAAATTTCAAACTAACCGGGTTATTATTCCTGAGTTTGAAAATAGCTGAATAAAATTACATACTAACCCAAACTTTTCAGGTCATTATCGTTAAGTTTGGGAATGTTTGAATAAAATTGCAAAATAACCGGGTTATTATCAATAAGTTTGGTGATGTCTGATTAAAATTGCAAGCTAAACCAAACTCACCCTAACTATTCACTAAATTCTAAATTGACAGAAAAAGTGTAAACTTACAGAAAAAGTGTTAATTTACAGAAAAAGTGTAAATTTACAGAAAAACTGTAAATTTTCATTGAAATATTTTTCAATATTAACATGGCAGCTCAACGATTTCATAAAAACAGTGCGTTGAATTTTTTTTGTACTTACTGTTGTGATCCTTCAGTGTTTTGCCTTGGTTAAAACTACTTTTGTTTTTGGTTTGAAACTTGTAGCTTTATTAGGTAATGGAATATAGAATGAAATTGAACTACAGCAAAAGTAAGACTTATTTTAGAGAGAGTTTTAACAAAATGTGTTACTACGACTGAAGCTGTCTTAAGACTGTCTTCTTGCTTCACTAGATCTCTTACAAATCGACCTTTACATCCCTTCTAAAACGTTTCTAAAACCTAGATAATTACAACTGGAAAACCCTAAATAAATATTGGCAATAAATGACAGTCTGTTCGCCCAAAGAATGACCATTAAGGATATTTGGGAATTTTGGGGTTTATGGTGGACAAATGTTTAATTTATTTACATACAATATCTTTGGGTTCTTTAACAGAAAGTCTGGGTCATATAATAATATTGCTTTCGGCGATGGCGAGACATTATTTGGGAATTTTGGGGTTTATGGTGGACAAATGTTTAATTTATTTACATACAATATCTTTGGGATCTTTAACAGAAAGTCTGTGTCATATAGTATTGCTTTCGGCGACGGCGAGACATTATTTGGGAAAGTATTCGAGGGTCGTAAAAGGTACAATGTCATGATATTATGGAGGAATATGACATTACGTCTTTCACATAGGTAGGTGAAAAAAATCCCGTTTCTTACTTAGTGTGAGGTATTTATAAGTTTTAATGGATGAAATAGGTACTAAACATTTTCTGATTTAAATTGTGAGACTATTTCATTTGCAATATTGAAAGCACCAACCGATTTATTTTATTATCGATTACTCAATCAAAACAAAAATGACAGCACAAAAATTCAATGTAGATTTTCCAATTAATTTGGGATTAAAACGCTTACGGTTCATAATGCCAATACACGATAGCTAATCAAAAACAGACAAAGCAATTACTCTTATCTTCAGCACCAAAAAAAAAAATAAAAAAATAGAATTGTAATATCCAATAATAATTGTATGGATTCCTGCTTATCGGTCAGAGCTCAAAAAGTACACAAACAACGAATAGCACATGATACCCAGCGCATCAGGCGAGTTTACTAACCTATGCTAATAAAAGTGCCTTGTATAAGGTTAATGGATTCATTCGGATATGCCGATAATATTGACGATAAATGGATTAAATTTGGATTTAAACGGTGCATTTTGGTTTGATAACGTTGAAATATGAAGGGGCACTTTGTGTATGATTATTTGTACTGCGAAATTATGCGTAGGTAATAGGATCGTAAATATCAATTTCAATACCGGAATTGATTCTTTAGTCAAGGTTGTTATGCAAGTGACATTGACGTCAATATAGTTTTAAACAAACAAACAAACAAACAAGATCTTACAACCGAAGACAAAAAAATTATATGTGATGCATTCCCTCATAGTGCACTAATGAAACCCCAACATTAGGTCAGTTGGAGCAGAAGTTTAAAAAACCTAAACAGGACCCGACGTGACACTCTTGGCATGATAAAATACAACGATCAGTTTATTGTTCTGGGACAACATTGGAGATGATGAGTTCTTGTATGATTTTCAGATGAATCTCGAATGCCTCTTTCCAGTTATACAATATAATATGGCGCTATCGGGTTTACTCCTCTTGGGAAATCGATTGAATCACCTCTTCAGGAGAAAATGGGATTATCGGCCCTATTGATGATGCAGGCCGTACTGCCATCGTCAACAGTGAAATATATCTAGAGACAGAAGATCTTTCATGATGTAGCGTACCATTTGATTTTAAGGAGTATTACGGAATTATACATGCCTTCTCTTAGTTGGTTGAGATAAATTAATTTATCATTTCATTGTTTTATGTCCACCTATCGTAACTAACTAAACAAGGCGGTTGGGTAGTATTCTAAACATAATAAGTAGGTATAATGGCTCAATTACTGAAACTATCTCTCCTATATAATAGATAAACTCCGTCCCTGACCGTTGACACAGAAAACCATTTTCCAGCAACCTTGATAATGAGAGGCATCATCTTGTGCAAGCAAACCGTTTTATCGGTTAGTGATATCCATCTCGGCTGAACTCGCGCCTAGTGTCGTTACATGTTTGTTTGAACGCTTAGTGTAGGTAGGCAGATAGAAACTATCCGGTTCTACTTTTTGAGCGATATCTTTATTGCTAATTTATAACTTCAAGACGTTAACAGGTGCTAAATGGATGTTATGACGCTGCCGGCCGTCTAGTTGTCTCGTAAACGATGTTGGTGTTTAAAAGCTTGAATAGTGCTGCTGATATGCCGTAATGTTGCAT